ACGATCCCCTCCCTGCTCCTGCTGGCCACACCATTCCTGATCCAAGCCAGGATGCCGTTGGCCCTCTTGGCCACCTGGGCACACTGCTGGCTCATGTTCAGCTGGCTGTCGACCAACACCCCCAGGTTCTTTTCCGCTGGGCAGCTCTCCAGCCACTCCTCCCCAAGCCTGTAGCATGGAACTGTTGTGACCCAAGTGCAATACCCGGCACGTGGCCTTGTTAAACCTCATATAGATGGCCTCGGCCCATCGACCCAGCCTGTCCAGATCCCTCTGCAGAGCCTTCCTACTCCTGAGCAGATCATCACTCCTGCCCAACTTGGTGTAATCTGCAGACTTACTGAGGGAGCACTCAATACCCTGTCCAGATCACTGATAAAGATGTTAAACAAGACCGGTCAGGGCAGTGACACAACAGCATCGTTGAGAGGGGGAGGAAATTGTTAAAAAAGGCTTTAACTGTAACTCTTTAACTAAACAGAATATTACTGGATGTACTGCTGGGAACAATGTGCACTGACTGCTGGGTAAGCAACTGCATGAACTCTCAAGCCTTGTCCACCTCTAAAGGATGGGATGCTCAGAACGCAATTTGGTTACAAGAGTCTTTATTGAAACATTTCTCCCTTCTTCACCCAGCTACCTGCAGTGAAAGCACTGGCATCATGCTGTAACGTAAGCACTGGCCAGTTCTTCTGACTCAGAGGCTCTCAAGGGAGCAGCTCCCCAAAGGAAGGCAAGGAAGCGGGGATCTTCTCAGCATCTTCCCCCAGTCACATTACCCTGACAGTTTGGTTTCTTTAAAAGCCAAAAGTCAGGGTAGAGGGGCTCAACAAAATCATAATCATACTGGTGTGTCAAGGTCATGTCATCATAGGTGACATGACCTTGACACACCATGTCATCATAGGTGACCCTCTAAAAGGTTCTGCTGGGGTAGTTTGGGTAGACCCTATCGTACCAAACACATCAATTTTGAGGAGCATCTCCACATCACTATGCCATGCAGAAAACCCTTTCCCATGCCGCAGGATGCTCCAGAAGTTGTTCCCCGAGGTGCAGCTATGGCTTTCTGATCCTGCCTGGTCAATGCTTCTGTACGTCATATCAAGGTAAATGTCAGCCCCACATACCTCAACCTCAAAACAGCAGCAGCACAAACTCTTGTCAGGCATCGCTTGGTGTCTGTGTTCAAATCCTTTGGCATGATCTGGGTACAGCTGTTCCCGTGGAGCAGTCGGTCACTTTGTCATTGGCTCTGGCTCTGTGTCACATGCTAAGGGACACAGAAACATAGAAAACTGTGTTTCTGAAACAGGAGAAAACTTTTTTACTGTGAAGGTGATCAACCGTAGGAAGAGATTGCCCAAAGCAGTTTTGGAGTCTCCATCCTTGGAAATATTCAAACCCAGCTGGACATGGCCCTGAGCAGCCTGGCCCATCCGACCCTTCTCTGAACAGGGGGGGCTGGACTCAACACCTCCAGAGATCCCTGCCAACCACAGCGATTCTTTGAGATGGTTTATAGGACCCATCCGAGAGCATTCTCCATCCCGATTACCCAAAACATGAGGTTTGTATTTGGAGTCTGCACGTAGCCACAGGAGTATTTTCTGTGACTGATGGAAGCTACAGGCATGCTAGGCTTCAGCCATGCACAATAAAAGTAATTAACATGTGAAAAATCAAAGGCAAACTATGCAAGACACTCAAGAAAATTAATCTGAATTGATTTTTCGAGTGGGTTAAGATAAGCCACATTAAACTTCTTTGTACCATTTTTAGCAGAATGAAAATGACCATGACTCAGTTTAGTTCTCCTTAAATGAATGAAAGAAAATGGAATTCCTTGTAAGAGTCTCCTACCAAGGAGTTTAATCCATAAACCTTTATTTCATTTGGATGTTCTTTCCTAAGAGTCCTTACGAGTCCAAGCCAGTCCCCGAGGCTCTCTCTGCTGTCAGTGGAAGGAGGCAACACCTCCAGAGCATGCTGCACCATTGCTGAAGGAGCTGTGTGTCCAAGACAGGTGAGATGGATTTCACCCTGTATCTCCAGAAATCTCTTACCAAACTCACCTCCCCCTAAAGGCAGGTCAGTATTAAAACCATCAAGCCCAGGACCTACACTTGAGGAAATCGCTCCTTGTTTTTGACTGGGGGTCAAAACAGAGATGTGATGGTTGGGTGGTCCAGTTGCAGGCACCATCATTCGATCAAGCAGATCTATTCAGCAATAAAAGGAAAGAAAGAGGTGATTGCTGCCCCAGCACTAACCAGAGGCCGTGATACCTGAGGCTCGCACTCCATGGGGACAGGGGCAATGGTCCCCAGCTGTGCAGGACCACCTCCTCACTTTGTCTGCAGGATGACAACCTGCCAGCCAGTGCTGCAGAGGTTTCATCCAAACAGGGGATTTTGTGAGCACATGCAAGTGTGGGGCCTGATTCGTGTCACGCTGGGCAACACCACATCAGCCTCTTAGCACTTTGGGACAGAACCTAGGGCTTGGGGTGCTCTGCACAGCACCCCATGTGACCTCCAACTCATGACCGCATAGACTGATGGGGTGACAGAGGTCAGAAATGACCCTCCAATCCATGACCACGTAGAGCGACAGCGGACAGAGGTCAGAAAGGGCCCTCCAACCCATGACCATGTAGAGTGACGGGGAGCAGAGATCAGAAAAGACCTTCCAACCCATGACCATGTAGAGTGATGGGGGACAGAGATCAGAAGGGACCCTCCAGCCCATGACCACGTAGAGTGATGGGGGACAGAGATCAGAAGGGACCCTCCAGCCCATGACCACGTAGAGTGATGGGGGACAGAGATCAGAAGGGACCCTCCAGCCCATGACCATGTAGAGTGATGGGGGACAGAGATCAGAAGGGACCCTCCAGCCCATGACCATGTAGAGTGATGGGGGACAGAGATCAGAAGGGACCCTCCAGCCCATGACCATGTAGAGTGATGGGGGACAGAGATCAGAA